CAGGAATTAAAGAAGTGACATTGCCACCAACTTAATAGAAATAAAAAGAATTTAAAGGGAATACTATTAGCATACCAACAAATTAGATAGCCTAGATGAATACCTAGAAACACCCAAACTACCAAAACTGAATCAAGAAGAAACAGAAAATCTGAATAAAACTGTAACAAGTAAAGAAATCAAATCAATATATCAGCATCTTCCCACAAAGAAAAGCCTAGGCCAGATGACTTCTCTACTGAATCCTACCAAATGTTTAAAAAAGAAGTAACACTAATCCTTCATGAACTCTTCCAAAAAATCGATGGACTTCCATCTCATTTTATAAGGTCAGTATTAGTCTGACACCAAAAGCAGACAAAGATATCACAAGAAAAGAAAACTAAAAACCTATGAATACAGTCACAAAACTCCTCAACAAAATACTAGCAAAGTGAATTCAGCAACATATAAAAAGATTAAACAACATGACCAAGGAATGTAAGATTGGTTTAACAGATGAAAATCATATTAATAGAATAAAGTACAAAAACCATATATGATCCTCTCAACATACAAAGAAAAAGAATTTGACAAAATCCAATACCCTTTCATAATAAAAATATCTACAACCAGGAATAAAAAGTAACTTCTGCAGCCTGAGGGAATCACATAAAACCCATAGCTAACATAATATTTAATAGTGACTAATACTAGGAATAAGACAAGATGTCTGTTCTTAAAACTTCTATTCAACACTGTACGAGACATTCCAGCCAAGGCAATTAGGTAAGTAAGAAAAAGAAATAAAAGGCATTAGGATTGAAAAGGAAGAAGTAAAACTACTTCTATTAGCCCATGACATGATCTTGTACATAGAAATTTTAAGAAACCTACCAAAAAATTATTAGAGCTAATAAATGGGTTAAGCAAATTTGCAGGATACAAGGTCAATATACAAAAAACTGTTGTATTTCTATACACTATCAATTCAATGGAGGAAAGAAGAGTCTTTTAAAAAAATGGTTGGGTGATGACAAGATGTCCATCTGTAAAAGAATAAAGTTGGACCTCTAGCTCACACTATATACACAAATTAACTCAAAATGGATCACAGACCTAAATGCAAGAGCTAAAACTATAAAACTCTTAGAAGAAATATAGGAATAAATCTTTGTAACTTTGGATTAGGCAGTGTTTCTCAGCTATGACACCAAAAGCACACATAACCAAAGGAAAAATAGGTAATTAGACCTTATCAAAATTTTAAAAATTTTGTGATTCAAAGGATACAATGAAGTGAAAAGACAATTCACAGAATGGGAAAAATATTTGGAGATCACACATCTGATAAGGGACTTGTGTCTAAAATATTTAAAGAACTCTTATAACTCAGCAATAAAAAGACAAATCATTTAAAAAATGGGAAAAGAATCTGAATAGATATTTCTCCAAAGAAGATCTACAAATGGCCATTAACACATGCAAAGATGCTCAACATCAAAAATCATCACAGAATCGCAAATCAAAACAATACTGAGAAACTACTTCACTCACTTGTATGGCTTTAATAAAAAATACTGACAGTAACAGGGATTGACAAGGATATGGAAAAATTGGAACCCTCACACATTGCTGGTAGGAATGTAACATGGTTAGCTGCTTTGGAAAACAGTTCGGAAGTTCCTCACAAAGATAAACATAGTTTTCATATAATCCAGCAATTCCACTACTAGGTATATATACCCAAGAGAAATAAAAACATATGTTCACACAAAAGTTAATAGCAGCATTATTCATAAAATCCAAAAGTGGAAACAGGCCAAATGCCCATCAACTGATGAATGGATAATCAAAATGTGATATCATCCATACAACACAATATAACTTGGTCTAAAAAACAGAATGGAATACTGATACATGCTACAAGGATAAACCTTGACAACATTATGTTAAATGAATGAGTCCAGACACAAAGACCACATATTGTATAATTCTACTCATATGAAATATCCAGAATAGGCAAATCCAAAGAGACAGTAAATAAATCAGTTTTTGCCAGAGGGTAAGGGGAGGAAGGAATGGGGAGTGATTGCTAATGTGAATGAGGTTTCTCTTTGGGGTAATAAAAGTATTCTGAAATTTGATAGTGGTGCTGGCTTTACCACTTTGTGAATGTACTAAAAGCCACTGAACTGTGAACTTTAAAAGGGTGAACTTTACATTATGTCAATTATACCTAATAAAATTGTTATAAATAAAAGGACATATGTCCTATAGCTCTTGTTGGAGGAATTTGCATTTAAATAGGTATTTATTTTTTCCAAAATTAAAATTGACTCTTGTCTGTTTGAAATGACCAATAATTTATCCTTTAAAATTTAAATGACATTACAGTTAAAGTATACATATACTTGATGCATTGATCTTTATCCCAATTAATACCGCTTATCTATGAGTAGCAGTTTATTTTAAAGTTGAAAATATTTTGAAGTGAAAAATTTCAGAGCATGCTAGTATCCATACATAGTTCTTAATATGCTAAAGTTGAGTAAATGTGTGAGAAGGGGCTTAGTATTTTCTCAGTTTAAAAAAAAATTTCTAATGTTTGAGCATTTCTTTAACATCTAAGGAAACTAAATTTTTAAAGATTCTTTACTTTTTTTTCAGTGATATCAGGGCCAAACAAAATAGAAGTCAAAGAATAAATGACTTTCTGGGAATTCTATGTTTGATCAGTATTCAACTCATGGTGTAACAATTAAGTAAGAGTTTCCATGTTAAGTAATTTCCGTATCATGGTTTTTCCAGAATGAATTTTCAAGTGTTTCAAAGCTTTCTGAGTAGGAATGTTAATATACAGAATTTTCTACACCTGAGTAAGAAAAACATGAATTTTTCACTTTCCTCCCTCTTCCTCCACATGTTCTATGTACTGGAGAGATTACTCAGGAGTCCAATTTCCTTTGCTATTTTTAAATTAAGGACACTGGCCTTTTACACTACATGCCTACA